CTAGGTCTACCTTGTAATTTGCAAATAATCATTAATAAAACTGTGATTGACAATTTAAGTATTTACCAAAAAACTATATATAACAGGTATAAGGTGGGTTCTAAAGTTCGTAGGCTGACACATAGATGGCGCATATATTTAATAACCTTTTTGTACCCTTTGGAGCAGAGACTCTTGGGCCGTGGGCTTCAAATGGACAGGCGTTAATTAAAGATTTAAGTTGGCGCCTTGTAGATAGTACCGGTGATCCCAAAGAATAAATAAATATCGCAATATAGCGAGGAAATGCCAGCATTAGGGGTCACAGGGACCAAACTTTTTAATTTGTTTTATTTTTTTTTATTAATGTTTAATTATTTTTATTATTACTATTAAGGTTAAGATAATTGTAAATACTTTATATTTGATTGTTATGTTTAGGTGGTAATAAATAAATCATCAGTTTGACTTTATCAAATTGAAAGCCAAGTGAGTCCTTACAGGTTAAAGAATTTTCTCGAGGAAATCATCGGGGCCTGGGCGTTGGTCCAAGCTTCTGATCAGAAATCATAATATACAGAAAATCCGACAAGTTAAAAACCTCTACTAAAAATATATCTAGTCAGTTATAAATATTATGGAAAGATAAAACACAAATGGTATGGTAATATTGCAAGTTATCTCCCGAGACGCAAACACATAAATTATTGTTTATCGTCTACTTTATAGCGCATTGTTTTTAAATTTAACGAAAACTAAGACTTTCATATTTTAAATATTACGTAGTTGCAACTTCCTATAATACAAGTGGAAAATATGACTTAGGAAGAACACCTTCAATTTTGCTGCTTTTATTATTAGAAACAGTTCATTGCAAGAAATGAAGTACAACTAAAATTATTAAATAACAACGAGGGCAACGGCCTTATTATTCGAGCGATTGCTTCCATCACTGCAAGGATTTTTTTTATCCAGTGAGAAGAGGGAAATAGAAGCGTAAGCGAAAGGAAAGGAGAAAGACAGTCATGGATATTTGGAAAAAGCTGGAGGAGGCCTTTACCCGTGAAGGGGTTCCGATCGACGGTACTGAAGGAAGATTACAAGAAAAAATAAATGTAATGATTGAAAATTAAACGGGCTTTTATTATTATACGACGTTCATTGAATCAAATTAAAAGTGTTTATGGATTTTAAATCAAAGTATTTAAATGTTCTATATATTTTAAACCTTTTTAAAATTTTGTTTAGCAACTCTTATTTCAAGCGCACCCACTGTAAGAATTTTACATGCAAGACTTATTTCAGAAAGTGCATTAACTTTTCTCTATACACGCTGTAAAAGATCTTGCTTTTTACATTATATTTATTAAAAGGAGATTTTTATGGCTCACTATTACTTCTCTTCTCTTACATTAATCCTATTTATATACTCGTTACACTTTTTTTTTTTGCTTTTTCGTGGGGAAATGCGTTACGCATATCCTCCCGCGGCATGGTTGACCTGGTGGGGAAGGGTTATGTGGGACTCGCTGTTGTGCATAACCCACTAAAACCCCACGGCGCCACCAGCAATCGCCCGGGGCAGGACACGGTAACAGCGTAGCCTTGTCCGCATCCAGCCACGCGATCAGCCGTTAATATTACGGTCCTCTACGGCCACGAATGATGTGGAATGGACCTTGGCACAGCAAGGGCCTTTCACATCGGCCAATTCATCCTGTTTTATAGAGCTGGGGGAGGCCGGGTACAATATACTCGTTACACGCATTGAGTAGGTACCAACTTGCCATTGTTGTTTGTTATATGTATACTACGATTTGCTTTTCGTAAGTACGCAATTTGGCCGCAGTGTTGCAGTGTTGGCCCAGTGGCTACAACGTGCGACTCTCATCCTTGAGGTCGATCACCGGCTGTGCACTAATAGACTTTCTATGTGCGCATTTAATATTAGCTCGAACGGTGAAGTAAAAATATCGGACGAAACCGGATTGCCTTAGACCCAAAAAGTCGGCGTGTGTCAGGCACAGAAGGATGACCTACTTGTCTATTAGATTGACAAATGATCATGAAACAGATACAGAAATCTGAGGCCCAGAAAAGGTTGTAGCGCCACTGATTTATTTAAATACGCAACTTGCAACGTACAAAATTTGTAATGCAAAAGGAAACATTATAAAATAATAGGGAAATTAAACTTCACCACTTCCGTTTTTCTGGATTCTATAGAACCTTGTACGTATATTACCAGAAACTTATTGGTACCTGGCAAGGGTTACGGGATTTAGTAGAAGTAAGAGTAATCGTTCATTTGTTAAAAACTATCCTTGGATAAAGTCTGATAACGTACGTGCTAATTATACACCAAGCAAGACTTGTATCGCCACTTTTTGTTTTAATTAGTGTTTGTTTCTCTTAAGAGTTTAAACCAGTAGACGCAAAGTCGCAAGCAGCTGCTAGTAAACATAACGCAACATTCGAGGCGTTATAATTTTAATTAAGCCACCATTCGCTAGAGTTCATTTCAACTTGTTGAGAATATACGCGGAAATAACTACGCGAAATGTATTTCAAAATGGTCGGAAAAACTCATTTGCGAGCACGTATATTTAATATTCAAATTATTTTTTCCGGTTCGTGTTTTACTATAAAAGCGCAATTTTAAATATTAATTTTTCGTTTAATATGTTTAAGAATATTGGTGAAATTAATGATATTTGACAATTTTTTACTTAAAGTCAAATTTCGTCAGAATAAATGGTTTGACAGCACTTGAAGTTTTACATACGTATACCGTCAACAAAACAAAAACTACTATTCAACTTCTGTGCGCTGAGCAGCGAATTTATTTATTTATTTATTAAGTCCACAATTCCGAATCGGACACATAGTAATATTAGTGTATCCTAAAGCACGTTAGAGTAGGTACGTAGTCAGTGCACGTAGAACCTCAGAAATGAAATAATAACCGTGATAACAAAACAGCGAAATGTCGCAAAATTAACTCGTGAAGAAAAAAACCGTCTACCTTATATCAGCGATCTATATATCACGGCCACGACACACACATTACACACTTAAAATGTACCTTATTCCTTTTTTTCCATAATTTTTTGTTATTTTTCTATGTGTGTGTTCCGTTGGTAATACATGTTATGTCTATTTCTATTGTTATTTGAAGAAATACTGCTATCTACAAAGTACAATCATACTCAAGTCAATTATTAATTGCCTTAAATGTCGTCTCTTCGACGAAATTAATTATTATACCCGATTAATTGAAGACGGATAAAAGGTAGCAAAGAGTACTGAAATACCAGGTTTAGCATCGCATCGCATAGCAAACTTAGGTAAACCCATATTGATTACGAAATGTTAATTATTTTCTCTGAAGATCGTATATAATAATAATCTCAAAATCTGCAAATGAAAGAAGAATTTAAAATTTGCAAGTACTACCACACTATTGTATCAAAATCACCTCAAAGGTCTCATAAGCTCTTCGAAAGCTCAGATAAGCAAACATGCTTATCTATGTAGTAATAAACTTAACTTTCGCATAGTTAAGTGGAACGGGTAACCAAAGTTTAGAACTAACCACAAAATGCTTTGTGATAACAAAATAGATTATAGGCTGGTTGTTTAACTTTCCGATTCATTTTCAGAACGTAATTAAAATATTAAGTATCTATGCATTTTCTTGACAGCATGACCATGTATTTTTGAATTAGTTTTTAGTAAACAATTTTTATATGAAGCAGGAAAGCAAAAGAGTGCTTAGCCATGCCTTTAGGTTTTTACAAGAGCTTATCTTCTCATAACGCGTTGAAGGAATAATATATATATATATATATATATATATATATATATATGTCACCGGAATATAACAAGATTATAAATTGCTAAGAAATTTTAGGAAACTTTCGTAGGATTCTAAACCGCGCTTAATAAAATTTATAACAGTATGTTTTGAATTCGTATTGACAGAACTCCAAGATCTTTACTGAACTCACAGACAGGCTGCGCTGGTGGGATGGAGTTATCAAGGACATCGAAACATTAGGTGTTCGAGGACGCAAGAAGCGTAACGGCTAATGTAGATTGCAAGATTGAAGGCCCATTAGGGGCTGTACAGCCATTGATGATGTATTTATTCCTTATCGTATCAAGACAGAAATAACTAACATTAAAAATTCATTAACCGAGATGCAGCATACGAATGAATGATACACATAAAGTTTTACATGAGCCATTTAGTATGTAAACAAAAAAAAATTGTATATGTTAATATTCTATTCCTGAAAGCTTTGATGTAACGCTTGCATATTTCAAACAATATGTATGAGCTTTACGCTTACGAATGGAAACCGAAAGATTTTTATGAATGGTATACATATACATTTCTAATCCAGAATTACAATGGATCTTTTATTTGTACTGATTGCAAGGCTGGCAATATGAGTGTCCATGGGCGGCGGCATCACTTAACATCAGATGAGCCTCCCCGTTTGCCTTATATTACCTTAAAAAAAGCTTATTAAACACTGATCTCGTAAATTCCTAAAAATAAACAACTTTAGTTGTTTATATTGTTCATGAAAATTAATTATTAATCTTATTAAGTCTAATATTCGTGAAGATAAAATAATATTTCTTAATAATCATCCATATTGCTTTGAGATACAAATTTCTATCCAATTAATTCTATATTTAGAATAAATAGGATTATCGTTATAAATTGGTCAACAATTATAGATAGGTTTAGCCCGGATTTTTTTCCTTTATTACCGTAAAATCAGCTGGTAAATGAATGAGGGATACAATTGTCACTTCGTGATTCAACTAAGGGCCTAGTGCGTTCATATAAACGATTGTGTAAATAAAACGTGTCAAAACCGACCTGTTACAAGAATACCTAAATAACAACATTTTTGTAACTGAAAGCAAGCTTCATCGCCAGTACATTGCTCATGAATTCATTATTATTCTTAACTTATACTCTTTTTAGTATAAATTATGTGTATCTAAATTAAATTTAAACAAACCTGGTATTTCTTGATAGACTCCATCTGTTCTTTGGTGACATCATGAGCTGGGGGCCTCGGGGGTGCGTCCCTGGGTACCTCCCTGGGTGGTACCGCTGGAGCGATGCCCTTCGCTGTGCCATTCATCTGCTGTAATATATTGCTCTATGATTATTTTGGTACAGAGAGAACCGCTATGCGTTAACTGGCTATTTTTAAATCAGTCCATCCTTGAATGATCTTTAAATGCAGATTCAACTCAGGTTCTTGAAAATTTACGCTACTTCTAAACCGAACCAAATTGCTGGCACTGAAGAATACCAGAGATTTTAAAAGAAACCTCTTTTAAATTTAATAATTGAGAGCTCTAAATAGATTATTATATTTTCATTTACATACAGCAAAAACCTTATTAGATGGTGTACAGTGTACTAGTATGAGTAAAAACTAATATATTCTCCAAACCTAGACAATGTTGTTGAGATTCGAACCTTTCACACAACGAATAAAATGATAGATGATTTATACATAATACAATAAGCTAAATTCCCTTGAAAATATCCCAAGACATGCAAATTAAATGTAAGTAATATACAAACATACAAGAATCCTCTGAAAAATAAACATTAATTTCCTTATTAGCAATATCATTCTCATAGAAATACAACCCAGTATTTTAAATAATATGTGTACATAAATACATTATTATAAATTACATAGAACAACGTGCATACAAATTAACAAAATATAAATTAAGACGTATTTTTAAATCAGCGCCATCTGTTTTCATTTTTAAATCTATAAAAAATTTACAATAGCGACATCTGTTGGAAGAGTAACGGCTGATGTAGATAATTTTATAAATAAGATTACAAATAGAAAGAGCGTTCGTGCAAAGGTGTTGATGATATGATAATTGTTTAGTAAAATGAATAAGCAATATAAAAACTCAAAATTAAATTAAATGTATAGAAGGTCAATGCCTTTTAAAAATTAAATTTAGTCAATATATCTTAATAATTTTAATTATTAAAATACACAAACATCCGTAGCGTCCATTTCATTATCACTTTGGAATGCGTCAATCGTTTTGTTTTTATATAAATCCATTTTGCATCGCTGGCCCAACTGCTCTATGTTAGTAAAAATTCTAAAAAGCTTCATTAATGTAAGTTTATCGCCTCTTATTGCAATAAAGAAAGTGAATGTGAAATCAAAAAGCGTAACTTTCTAAATGAATATGCAACACCTGGTAATGCAATGTTATAAATAATAAAAGTGTTACAATTTTAATATTTCTTAGATGAGTTTTATAAGGATATATGTTTACTTATAGTCAAGTACATACATATAAATATATTGAGTAAATAATACGTCAACGGTTCGACTCCGAATTAGCAAATATATACGATATTTTTTAATTTTATTTAATAATAGCTAACCTCTCTAATGCTGTAAGCATGCGAAATACCAGGACAATGTTGCATTTTCAATTTAAGTAACACATTTTAACCAGGTTAACTAATATACACTTCCCAGAAAATAAATTTAAACAGTCCTTATTGCGCAATAGAAAAGTTCACTTCTAACGGACAGTCATAATATACATATTCAAATTAATCAACCTTAATTTCTAGGCCCAAAAAGCACCGATACCTTACCAAACTAACCTTGCGATCTAACCCAATGACCACCACCAATGAAAGTGCAGTGCATTACCTGTGACGTAACGCTCTTTCTATCGCTTGGGGGATATTTTGGCGTTGTTTTCACAATCTGAACAAAACTGTCCGGCACATCAACAGCCACTTCCCTTCCTAGCAAAACTGGAGTCGTATCGAAACCTGGCGGTAGCTTGTACGACGCGTAGACGGCTTCTCTGATCAGAACCGAATCTGTCCTTGCCGAATAGGTCACACCTTCTCTGCAATCTAATAGAGAATCGTCGCCATTCGATATCAGGAGTTGTATTTTGTGATCGCTCAGATTGTGTGTGGCGTTGGAAGCTACCGACTCGGATCTATCGGATAACATATCGCATTTGGTTGTTTCGGAGGAGTTCTTGCTCTTCTTGCTGCCGAAGCTAAGCGAATCTGAACTTTGGGGTAGTGAAAGGAGCTCGATAGTGTTCTTGAAGCTTCCGGAACCGTCAGAACTCGGACCTGATATATTCAGACTTTGGAGAACGGTGCTCTGTTTGCTCCCGAAGGATGTTCCTGAACCGCCTGATGATAGGAGAGGTTCTTCGTCCCTGGTTCGGGCGCGTACCTGAGGAGGCCTTGGTGGAGGGTAGCGCGGAGGTGTTTTGTTTCTCGCGATGAAACTGTCCGGTACGTCCACCGCCATCTCGCGGTGAGGTCCTGAAATTTAAAAGAAAACTAAATAATGATACAATAGAAAACTTACATACAAAAAATCTAAGAGAACTATAATAAAATAGCACGGATATATTTTTATCTGTTTTATTAATCTTTATAGTCCACTAAGATAATACTACAAAAAATCTTCAATAGAACGTTCAAATAGCAAAAGCAAATATCACATAGCCAAAAAATTCAATTAAATATATTTAAAACTGTCCTTTTTCCCAAATGAATCAAAGGCATAATTAGTAAACGTAACAATATATATTTTTTGTTTATTTCTTGAAGGTCAACTGAACCACGACGTCAATTTATCAAATTTCACGGCACTTGAACTCAATGTCAGCAAAAATAATTATCTATTTGTTGAGACGTCGTTAATTAATTTTTCAAAGTCGAAAAGAAAATGTCCAAGTACCAATTTGCATTCGAAATTAGTTATGTCCATCATAATGAGTTTTGGTGTTTTGATCTTTAAAAATAAACATCTTCGGGTTGAAGTTGGATAAAAACGAAATAATATGCTTGGTTTTTTCGGCTTTAAATAAAAACACTATTTTACGTTATAGTTTAAAATTCAGGTTAAATAGTTGTCATAGACATAAACATAACATATGTTACTAACGAAACACACACACACAAAAATAATAATAATAATAATAAGGTATATTTTAAGTGTATAATGTGTGTGTTGCGGTTGTAACTGGCTTAGCATTATGCTCTGGAGCAGACGTGTCTCACAGCGCTGGCCATTCTGCCAGTCGAAAACAATGAGTTTGCTCCTCAGACGCAAAAAAATGTAATAATAATAATAGTAGAGAAAATAATAATAGTAAAAATTAACAGTGTAAGTAAAGAAGTCTATTAAGTACACGTATATATCCTTAGTTACCTAAGAGCAAATAGATTTTAATTAATTTAGAATTTCTATATGAATAAGACATCAAAGACAAAGTGTAAAATTCGTCTGACACTCGCATGTCAAAGACGTATTGAATCTGACAAATAAAAGCCTAATTATTTATTGTTATGGTTTCTAATGGCTATTTAAAATTTAAAAACTATTGAGTTTAGTTATTACTGCATTTACCCATTACTGCTCTGTATAAATAAAGTTTTATGGAGTCAGTGGCCGGAGTAAGGGGTAAAACATAATCATATATTCCGAACCAAAACTCGTATAATAATTTATCGTCTAAGAGAAAATTGTATTTTTTTCGATCACAATACCGTTATTTACCGTGACTAAATAGAAACTAACCGGTATCTGAAGACAGTGAGAGCATGGTGAGCATGTCTGGCCCGTCATCCGGCGGTCTCTTCTCCTCGTCAGCTCCCACCACTACGATGCTGGATCCCGACCGGCGCCGCGGTCTGAAACGTTACACACATTATTAATATAGAAATTTAATTAAACGCCTTTTCTCTAGAAAGCTGTTAGCTACTTATTTGCTTAGATAAGAAGACGCTGGCACAAGATCATAAACTTAATGATAACAAGAATACTGAACAAAACTTCTTAATGGTAAATTTATTACATCAAATGCTTTACGGCAGTCGTGGTCAGCGAGGAACGCGCGTATCAAAATTTCCACGACATGGCGTGGACAATGCAAAATCGCTCCTATGTCAATAGAATTAAAGGTAAAAGAATACAATTAATTGTCTTGAATGGATAAACCATTGGCGTGGGAAAATATCATTGTAAACATAACCGATCCGCAATTACTTGATGCTCAGTCCATAATTCCAGGCCTTTAGCGTGCAAATTGTATTTAAACCTCAACATATGACTAGACAAAAATATATAACAGAAATATAATTTACATGCCAGTATATAGTCCAGTCCAGTCAAAATATATTTCTACACAGAATATTCGTATTTTTCTAGAGCCAGACAGTTATCAGGCCTTATCTACTCTCAATTAAATTTAAACGTTAAATAATGTTCAGATTCAGTGTAAACAATATACAGAATGCAAGATGTCCCAAGGTTAGCGTGGAGCGGAGGGCGCGACGACGCGTGAAGTCACGCAGTGTGCTCACCGCTTTATGTAACGGTTTAGAATTTTAAATTTGTCCATCGTGTTCCACACTGTAGCTTTGTCCATGTGTAACAGGTTGCGTAAATTTATTCACGCTATATCCATTCAATCTTTAGCCCGTAAATTAGGCATATGACAAGAATATACATTAACACTTTTTTACTATAAAAATTGTTTTAAAACCTGTTTTTTCCTTAGTCTAAAAGTAAACAATGTAACAAACATAAACACACCCTTCACAAATAAAGATGGTGCTGGAGATATTTTTAACTGAACCTATTATATATAGACTATTTACGCCCGAGCCCAATAACCTATCTCAATCCATAATCCACCATCTGAGATAGTAATCTTAATCAAAATGTTGTAATAAGTGTGCCAATAACCAATCGACGGATTGTAATAGACATCTGTCGATACAAGCTATCCATGGAAGGTCGAATCGGTGTCTGTGGAGTGTGGATAGACCTTTGTATGAAAATGACAGTTGACGAAAGCTCGATTTCAACAGTTGATTATTTTAAAAGATTTTAACTTACACCAGTTATTAAAAAATTAAAAAAAAACTGTTTGTTATGTTTTAAACATACACATATATATTTTAATGTTATTCGTAAGGTTTTCTTTATTTTATTTGGTTTACATTGATTATAAAATATGAGTGAAAACTCGGTAAAATGGAACGACAAAGAGCATTTTATCCGTCGCCAAAAATGGATTGCCTTCGTAGAGTTTGGTTATTGGGATGCAGATAGGAGATCGATCGACTGTCACGGGGACGGGAGTTAGTTCGCGCTATGAAGTTTGTGAAGTTTACCTGTAGACTCGACAGTTACGATATCCTCTTCTAAAGAATCGGGTTTAATTCCGACATTTTTAACGCCAATAACACAGTACGCCAATAGTCTAGCTTAAAATCCATTTTCGTCGAAGGATTTGCAGAGTATTCGTAAAGGTCTAGCTAGAATATTGTCAAACGAAGCGGATGATTACAGCCTAATACCGCCCGGCTTACATTTATTGCCGCCCGCTGCCGCTTGGGAAGCTGATGGAATGAACACGACTTTTATTTAAGATATACGAGTTAGCGAATTACGCAAATTAAGAAATCATAAGACATTTAAATTATATATTTTTTTTTATATAGAACTAGGGGCAAAGGGGCAAGAGGCTAACCTGATGTTAAGCCCATGGACACTCTCAATGCCAGAAGGATTGCGAGTGCATTGCCGACTTTTAAGAGTTGGTATGCTCTTTTCTTGAAGGACCCTAAGTCGAATCGGTTCGGAAATATTTCAGTGACAAAACCGACAGGAAATGTTTTTAATCATGAAGATAGTTAAACTTGGTTTTATCTAGGCTAATTTATTTTTATTTTATTTATTTATTTACATAAAACACAATATTGTCTTAACAAGTGAAACCAAATACTTTAAGAATTCGACCAAAGAATCCATGACTAATAAAAATTTCAAACCCACACGAAATAAAAACAAACATATATAGTGTATCTAGGTAGGTAGGTAGGGTCTTAGGTCACGTGGTCCTACACGATTTCGTGAATCAAGAGTGAACAAAACCAAATTCCTTTTATGTATAAAACAAAAAACCTTTTTCTTTCACATAACAAAGAAATCATTAATTCACGCAGATAATATACATTAATATGTTGTTGCTTATTTATATTAAAAGAAAAGTCGCTGTCACCTCTGCTTTGGGACCATTTCCAGCATTCCAATTTTGTCAGCGTATGTAGATACGTAAAATAAACCGTAGTGACACAATGGAAACTGAATGAAATTTTCATATTTTATAGAATGGTTAAGTTCTGATTCTTAAACAAAAAACTGTAAAGTAGGTCAGTTGGTTTTTGTTTTTCTGTGTTTAAAAGTATTACTTATAAATCTCTAAAAGTAATTTCAAAGCAAGAGAAGTCTGGCTTCTGATGTTTTTACAATGAAGCAACTGGGCAGGAGGCTCAGCATCGTTACTCTAACCGCATGACCTCAAGTTTTCATCATCAGCGCTACGGATATTTAGGGAACTTCAAATTACATACAGACACATCATAATCTGTATCGCTATTAGACCGTTAAGCGCTACGCGGTCAAAAGGTAAGTCACCGCCGGTAATTTGAGAATTAAGAAGACTTTACACAAATTCACTTTGGTAGTATACTCAACGTCGCTTTTACTAGGTGTTGTGTAAGAAATGTTAGATACAGCCACTCGTGGCCACTCAAAGCTAGAGGGCTCGCGTGTGCGTTGCCGGCCTTTTAAGAATTGATACGCTCTTTTCTTGAAAGTCCCCCATTGAGAAGTTTTCCCTAAGTCGAATTGGTTCGGAAATACCTTGGTGGGCAGCTGGTTTCACATTCTAATATTAATCAATCCAAAGTATATAATTAAATACAAAATACAAAATACAAATTTCAATACTTTCTTTATGTTAATATGCTTCATGAGGTTTAAGCTTTTATGTGTTTTGCCTTCATATATCATTTATGTGTATGTGTTTGTGGGCTTAATAATAAATAAAAAACATAACTAGAAGTATCTGTAGTGACTAGTATTCGGTATTTATATGTATTCTACTAATATTAAATTTTAATAAGAAATCACGCGTTAAGTTTCGTCAATAATCTTCTCTATGCGCCCAAAAATTTGATATTTTTTAAAACAAGTATCCTAAAAAGGAATAGAACTGTTTAAAATAACCATAGAGATTAGATATATTACACGAAGCGCCTAAAGCTGATTTCCTAATCTTTCACCAGTAGTGAACGTAAGTGTGAAATGTTATTAGATTTCGCTATCGGCGATTCATCGTATTAAATTTTCAAAATTAAAAAAAAATCATTTATTCACATAGGTAACACAATGTACACTGTATGAACACTTATGAACGTCAAAAAAAATTAAATGCTTCTAATTTTACATTTACTGCCAGTTCTCAAATTAAGGGCGTAGAACGGAAGAGAAGAACTGGCAATAAACTCTCCGGCACTCTTTTTAATCGCCAAGTTTTTTGTTTTACAACGTTAAGGAGCTAACACCATTACACCATGTCCCACATGACATCTTATGTAATAAATAATAATAAAATAAATTGAAAACATAGATTTGTCCCCTATCAGCAGTAGGCATGGTGAAATAGGAGCACGCACTTACATTCTCGTGAGAACAACACGAGTATAACAAGAGTATAATTTTCACTGTAAATCAAATTCCACAAAATAACTCTAAACACGGAACACTTCAACATATCCGCTACAAATTTCCCCTACATCGAACCTATAAATAGGCGATTGACGCTCGAGTGAGTATCTCTTGACAAAGGCCGAATTAGGTCAGGTACCTGCTACAGGTAGCATTGTCACTTCCGGTTTAGAACTCTATTTAAAACCCACTTGACAACCTGTTAGCTCCAGAAATCAAGAATCTACAAAGAGGTAAACGGTTCTAATCCCGGAGAAAATGCGATATAGTGTTAATATCTCGTAATATGGGTAAAATAATGTTTGGTATTGTTAAATTAGAACTTTCTATGTATAAAATGCATTTGTCAGAGTGATTTTTTATAATATATAATAAGGTTGGAAATACCATATATATCAAACATGTACGTAAAATTCATATGCCTATTATGTATGTAAGACAAACATAATATATTTTCCTATTTAAAGGTAAATTAATAGATATTTCTTTTGTAAAGAAATCTTTTGTATTCACAGAGAAACGCAGTTGCGCCTTATTTATTCCCAGTATAAGCGATTGATACTATTATATGTATTTAAAACCAATAAAAAATGTTAGAACAGGGGAGGAGGCGAGCAATGGACTTTCTGTGTCCATTGGAAGCTCTGTGGAACATTCTGCTCCTCAGCATAATGCTGAGCCAGTACCAATTACAGCCGCAGCACACACGCATTACACACTTGAAACGAACCGAATGGGAAAAGGGATTTTTTTTATTATTGTTTTTGATATCTCTCATTTTATTTTTTTCTTTGATTATTGTTACTTTGTGTGTTTATGTGTGTGTTTTTGTTTGTAATAAATGTTGTGTCTATATCATTGTGTCCGTTTAAGGCCTGCCGGTTTCCTCACACCCAAAAAGTCCACGGTGTGTCAGGCATAGAAGGTTGATCACCTACTTGCCTATTGGAAATGATCACGGAACAGATACATAAATCAGACTCCCAGAGCTAAAAGGTTGTAACGCCATTGGTATGCATATGTTACGAAAAGTAAAATCTATAGAAATCACGTCTTGTGCGACTTCTACTTAAAAAATAGTTTCTAAAAATACACACAATTACCATTATCACTATACGTCAAACTATGCTAATTAGGTTTTGTTTTACATGTAATCAAATCGGTGTTATCGCCAGAGCAATGTGTTTTATTACACAGCGCCATGATAGATATCAACAGGAAAATTTTAAATATTTGAATTAAATCATTCAAATAATTCGGTTAACTGTGATTCTGAATAAAAGGTTTTGTTCGTAGAATGTCAAATAAATAAAAATATACTTTTTAAAAAAAAAAAAACACTTTCGAATCATGATCATTTTTTAATTGGAACTGATTTTCGAAGGTTCTCCTCAGTTTCTCTGAGGAGGAAAATACATACAATACGATGTTTTGAATTTGGATGCCCTTCATAAAATCTGTAACAGCTCAACTGCTGCTGTATTGGTGCACTAGAAACATTCTTCATATATTTTTTTTGTTTTTTAAATTTATAATAGGGCGCAAACAAGCATACGAGACGTCCAATAAGGGCAGTAATCGCAGCCCATGGACTCCCATTTTTTAATGGTAACGTTGCCGGCCTTTGGGGGAAGAGTACACTCTAACTTTGAATAGTTTGAGGTCGTATCTCTCAGGGAAGACCCGCACCGGGAGTCAATTCCACAGTTCGCTAGTTTGCAAAAGAAAGTGTCTTGTGAAGCGGGCTGTGGAAGACTTCCAGCCATCAAGGTGATGTTGATGAATATTGCATTGATACGGCTCGAACGGTGTTGAAACGAGGCTGGAGGGATCAACCCAAACAATTCC